AAGCCGAGGAGAGATCGGGTGGGAAGGTGTAATGGTTAGAGCCCCGGCGATGGAAGAGGTCAAAAGGTGGCAGCCGTGGAACCGAGCTGGCACAAACCCCCTGCCACGCCGACCAACTTCTTAAAGGCATTTTTGGGCGTTTTATGTCTCTCTCTCTCTCTCTGTGTTTTTAAAGGAACGTTCCCAGGCTCCAAATCCTGCCTTTCTCATTCCTTGGGCAGGACAGATTGCTGCCTGGGTGAAGCCAGTGTCTATTTAAAGCCCACCACGCCCTGCGGGTGACGGCCGGGTTCTGTGAAATCTAAAATCTAAATATAAAGCTAGCGCAAAACATCCAGAGAGCAGGCACTAAGATCGGCCGAGCCATTTTAGACCCTCCAGACGCTGGGGAGTCGTTCAGCCACTGGGAATTCACAGTGGTTGTGCTTCCAACCTGCTCTTTCTGGGATCTCGGCTTTGTCTCCCCAAAATCTAGAGTATCGGAAAGGCTGCCCTGTTGTCTTTGAGGTTCTTCCCCCCCCCCAAAAAAAAATATATATTCAATTCCCAGACTCTTCTAGCCGGTTTCTGGGAGTTGTTGCTTAAAGATGCTTTTCCAGGCCCTGAGTTCAGGATCTCCCTTGCAATTTGGAAGGACCGAAACGCCCGCCTTCCCTGACCCGGCCCCCCTCTGGCATGATGGATTACAGATCCGATCGCCCCAGCCAGCATGATTGTGAGTGGGTGATGGGACTTACAGACCATCCCCTGTGAAGGATCCTGAGTGAGGGTTGGCCAAACTTGGGCACAGAGGAGAAAGTCCCCGGACCTTGAATGCAGTCTTTTTGTGTGTCCCCCCCCCAAACCCTCGCTGGTGTATCTGTGATGTAGAGTTAAGAAAAGCTGCCTTTTGTGCCCTGGGAGAATCAGAAAGCTGGCGCCGGAGAAGCCGCTGGGCGCGGGTGCCCTCTGCTGTCCAGGGAACGGAGGAAGACGAGAAACGCTTTCCAGGCAAAACTTCTTGCCCATCTTAGTGGCCGTTCCCCTGACATCCAGAGGACGCGGTCCTGCTCTCGCCCTGTCCCGCTTCTTTCAAGGCTATTTTCTCCCTCGGGGTTTATTTCTTTGCATTGCTTGGTACTAAGGGGAAGGGTTTTTAATGCTGTGGCACTTCCAAGGCTTAGCGCTCATGCAGCCAGCCAGCCGCAGAGACACACACGCACACGCAGATCCGCCTCTCCTCCCTCCTCTCATTGCAATTACAGAGTTAAAGATGGGGAGCCAGGAAGACCCCCCCCCTCCTTTTTCTTCCGCTGCACTATTAAATAACCAGAATTCCCTTAGGGGGAAAGTCCGTCGGAGGAGGGGGGGCACAGCCTCTGAGTAACGGGGGAAATGCACTTGGCGTATGCTCAGAGGCCCCATGGCTTCACCGTGAGGGGTACGTGAGTCCTCCCCCTCTATTCTGGTTAAGCCGTCTTCTCCTATGATTCGGTCTGAACCTAGTGCCAAAGGATCGGGGAAACGGGGGGGGGGAGAGAGCAGAAGCAGAAGCAGGACGTAGCCTCATGAAAGCAGGTGCTTCCTCTTTGCTGAAGCCACAGCCGCGGCAGGAGGGGACAATGCCAGGAAATTCGGAGAACAGGACTCTCTCCGAGGGCTGGAGGGGGCCGTGGGGGAAGGAAAGGCAGGGAAGGGAAGGAGAATTTGGGGGTGGCTTTTTGGCCCCAGAGAAAAGAATGGCAAAAGAAGCCCGTTGCTGAGACC